AGACACATTCAAATTTTTTTTTCTAGCAAAGTGATCTCCGTTCCAAATTGGAACACACGTGATTTTGATGAAAATAAAGCATGGACATCCACATAATTCTGATCGAGACAAATGGTTACATAGAACCTTGCTTTATTGTATGAAATAAAAACTTTACTGAAGTAAAGACATAAAAATAAAAAAATAACCCCAGAAGGATGTAAAAAATATATCACTATTACATGATGTGAATATAAAATAAATAAAAATCTAATTATTCATTCTCTGGTTCATGTAGGAAGTATGCAATAATGTGATATACATTTCTGGGAGGATCCTTATTGAAAAAATTAGAGATTGGAGCCAGTGATCACATACGTCTTTCATCTACACTTCCAGGATGATAAATTTGACAGATATTAAGAGGAATATTATTAAATGGAGATGTCAACTTGCAGTTTGGAGATCATAAACCATTGCATCTCTGGAAATCGTAATTGTGAGTACAAAACTACTGATTGAAAGTTGATTATGTGGGCCATTAAGAATAACAAGACAATTGGTAGTAATATCGTTGGCCCATAGTGAGTAAAATTTTGCTTTCATAGATAATGAACACCAGCAAGCCAGACACATTACCTTATAAAAAACTTCATGAAGATGAGAAATGATGCCGCACAAATCCAGCTTATTTATATTGTTTCATTCGCTAAACCTGAAAACCTGCTAGAAGAAAAAATTACATTAATTACATTGCCCTGACCATTCGCCAGATCCTTTCTTCATAAGGCATGAGTCATTTGGAAGAAATCAAACTTATTTAGTTTGATGATTTCTCAAAGTGTAAAATAAGCCAAATATTTGGCAATCTTGGAGATGAGATAATTGCAACACAATCTATTTGTATCCTTTTTTTAGTACAAATCATGACACAAGACCCAAACTTTCTCAGCAATTCTGCATCATTGTTCACTCTTCGAGATGCTCGTTCATTGAAAGCAAATTTCCGCTCAGCTACGGAAGCAAAGAAATTTTTGTGGGTGTTGAATGGAAATTGAATATGACAATACAATCAAATGAAAACTAATTATTGAATGGAAAGATACAATACTTATACACAAAATAGTAATAGGTAAAGATTTTGGTATGGATAAATTGACACTTCAAACAATTGAAGAAATTAAATGGTTACTAAACAAAGCAAGAACTAGAGGTTGGAATCGTCCAAAAAATCCTTAGTTGACTACTAGTTGGTCAAAATTTCTTTTAGTCGACTAAATTTTTTTAATACTAGCGTGTAACCATTTGCTTCGCAAAATGGTCACACTAGTCACGGGAATAACATCCTATTTAATTAGAATATTCATTCTGTTTCATTATTATTAACGTTTTTTTTTAATTTGCAGATTACAAATTCATCTCCATTTGAATCTTTAATTTTCTCGAAATACTTCCATACGAAGCTATATGTTATAATTCGTTTTTTTAAAGGTCTGGAGCCACTGCTTGAGCTCGAAGCCAACGAATTGTTGGAATGATTTGACCTTGTATCAATGTTTATTATTTCGCATGGATAATTATCGCCAACACCAGCACCAACACCACCATTATCATCTTCTTCATAATATTGATACTCCGCATATTTATTTTTATTATTAAAATTTTTTTGTGCCACAAAAAACGTTTTCATTTATAAATTGGCCAGACAATAATAATAATTAGTATTAGTCAACTATTTTAGTCGATTCCAACCTCTAGCAAGAACAATTACCCTCAACTGACTCAACCAATTATTTATTATTAGGAGAAATAATAGTGGTAGAAATAGGAGTTTTTGTCTATTTGATAAGAAGAAAAAAATCAAGCAAAGTACGGACTTAATAATATTAATTTTGGTCATGTGAAACTGTTCTTTCTTTTGCAGTGTTAATTGCACATGTTTATTACACCAATAATTAAAAAATAAGTTTATTTTTCTTCAAACTTCTTTTCTTTCTAGGTTCATCATGTCTCCACATTGATGTTCTTTTATTAGTTATGATTTTTCTTTCTCTTGGTAAATTTCATAAGTAACCCTTTCTTTTCTAGATAAGCTTCAAGTGTCTGAGTATCATTTATACATTTATTTTGGAAATGTAAGAAGCATTTTTTTCACCTTGTTCTTTCTTCAAAATACTTCTAATGGTGCTATAATTTCATCGACACCCATTTCGTCGAAAGTTTGTTTCATCGAAAGTTCATTTCGTCGAATGTTCGTTTCGTCGAATGTTCATCTCGTCGAATGTTTGTTTCATCGAATGTTCATTTCGTCGAATGTTTATTTTGTCGAAAATTATTTCATCCTCGAGCCAGAGACCGAACGAGTTAGATGTGAGGAAAGTGGGGGTGTGTGTGGGAAGTGTGAGGAGAAATTTGTTTAATGAAGTTTTTTTTTTGTGATGAAATAATTTTCGACGAAATGAAC